ATAATTTTGCCTGTTGTCTTGTGTGGTTGTGAAAAATGGTCTCTTACTTTGAAGGAAGAACATAGATTACAAGTGTTTGAAAACAGTGTGCTCAGGAGGATATTTCGACCTAGGAGGGATGAAATAGGTGGGGAATTTGGAATATTACATAACGAGGAGCTGAGTGAATTGTACAAGTCACCTAGCATAGTAAGGATACTGAAATCTAGGGGGCTCCAATGGGTTGGAAATGGAGCACTCATGGGGGAAGGCAAAGGGTGTATACAGGATTTTGGTAGGGAATCCTTCTGGAAAAAGACCACTGGGCAGACCAAGAAAGAGAGGGGAGGATAACATCAAGATTTATCTTAGGGAGGTGGGCTGTGAGGATAGAAAATTGATGGAGCTGACTCAGGATCGTGGCCGGTGGCGGGCTTTGGTGCTGTCGATGTTCAACCTGCGGGGTCTGCTATTGGGGATTTAGTTAGTCATGAAAACGTAAGTTTCGTTTGCATATTCAGAAAAAAACATCAGTTTTACCGCATCCTAAGCCAATCCAATTCCACATCTTTACACTTAGGTTTACAAAGAACTGGCTGAGAACGAAATATTTTAGTCTGAAGGACGTCTGTGCTCTGTGCGTGACCAAGATTTTCACGAAGTCATGTCTCGTTCTTGGATGCTCCTCTTTAATCGTTCCTTCGTTCTCCGCCTTTCAATGAAGTTATTTTGTTATATTTTTTTGTTTTGAGAACAAAGGAAGAATTCACAAGTAGCCAAAAATGTTGAAGAAGTATTTCCTGGAAACGGGTGGGGAGTAAATCTGTTAATATGACAAAGCAATGGCCTACTAGAGCGAAATTTCTGTTGACAGTTACTTGCAACCATTCTCAGAAAATCCGTCATTATAAGTCTGTAATGGTTCCTGTTGGTTCAGCGTTCGGTAACGTCGGATGAACTTTGAGAACAAACTTCCTTCCTTATGTAAGAAAACCAATAAGAGTCTTTATGCCGAAGGGGATAACTGTCTGAACAGCAAATAATTATTTATTTCTACAAGACCATTTTTCTATATAATCCCGACGACTTTCGCTTCTGGGGATCTCTCAAGGGAAGGATATTTTCTTCTCTGGGGAATTATGGATAATTGACAATTTTAAAAGTTATAAACACTGCTATATTACGGACTATAACAGCTAATACGTTCTCTCTGCCTCTGTGTAAATGTCGATTTATTAGCACGAAATAAATGGCTCTTAAAAGTGACAGAACTGAGTTAAAAGTATCAGATTAAAAATTGTATTTCGTGTAAGCTTAAGATACTGACGTTTTACAAAAACGCCCAACCACTAAACATTCGTCCTGAAGATAGCAATTGCGATGCATGAAAAATTGACGGATAGTTCTTAACATTCGACACGGCTCACCCCCGAAAGCCGAAGTTACAAATTGTTTGGTTTATGTCATAATTTTATTGTAGCCCACCTTAAGCCGGCATCGAAAAGTAAGACGTGAATGTGTTAGCTAGTTTTCCTCACCTTCGATATTCCAGACAATCAAGCATTTTAACAACTTCCTTAGTTATTTCAGTTTCTTTAGAGCCATTATTTCAAACTTTGATGTTATTAAAAAATAATATTCTAACAAAAGTAAACTGTATTTACATTTTCGTAGTGTTGACTTCTCCAAACCACATGTATTGTTATACGAGGGACGTACAAGTTCCAGAACTGTTTCCGATGGTAACAAATTAAATATACATTCTCGAGCAAAATAAGAGCAGATTAAAAGAAGTTTAGAATATTTATCTTTTTCCTTCCATCTAAATGTGTAAATAATGGAATATGAATTGGTTTAAGTGTCTGTTTTATATTAGCGTGAAGCATGATATTTCATGTGTTAGAAAGAACATATTTTCGAAGCTGTTTGAAAGCACCATGACATGAAAAATATTTATGAATACGTAAGTGGAACTATGAAGAAAACGTTTTACAGTGGGGAACTTCATAACTTCTTCTCTTAACCAAGATTAAGATTATCATATAAAAGTGCTTGACATGAGCAGAACATACATCACTTATGCGGTGAGAAAGTCATGCGAAATTTTAGTATGATAACTGGAAAGGAGAGACAGGAGGATGATATTAAAATTGATCTTCAAGATGTAATATGTAAGTCACTTAAATTAAATGTATGAAATAGATTAATCCGACATAGGAAATTATCCAACAAAATATTTTTTTTTTTGTGAACACAGAAACGAAACTTCCATTCCATAAAATCTGAGAAATTGCTTCGGTGAGTGTGAGAATTGTGCTGTATGAAATTGGTCATATTAGCTTGAAACTCATATAGAGAGCGAAATGTGGTTCTGACACTCGAGCACTTACGTGGCATCCATTAAAGAGATTAGAAATCAATACTCATGTATAAGATTGGAATTGTGCAGTCCGCATTGAAGCACACAAGAGTTTCTACACGAACTCTTTACACGTTTGCAATATGAATGCTCCTACCTGTACATGTGTATTTCTTGATATTAGATTATGTTTAAACAACTTAGTCTTATAATGATTGTTTTGATAACAAGCCTAAATTTTAAGTTAATTAATGTGTGTTTAGTGTATTGTAATTAGAGATGTCGAAAGATCAACAATTAAAGCCACAATCAATAATATTGCTTTGCATCGAATAAACTTCAGAGTTCTGGGTTCGTAGATAGTCTTACAACGGGGCCTCATCAGAGTCATATTTATTGATTATTTCTTACAATTATAAATATGTAACAATGTTATTAGTGCCATTAAAATTCGTTATTATTTTATATTTTTGGAAAGAACTGCATATGATACATCATATTTAATTTATATACCTTCATAACTGCTGATCCACAAATGTTGTTATCAAAAGTTCTGTTTGAATATTTGAACAAGATTTCACTTGCCAAGTTCCAAATTATTGGCTACTTATTACTGAAAAAGTAGAAGCTATCAAAAATTTTTGAACAGTCTATATAGGGAGCCCAGAGCTGAACGGAAAACTTATTCTTTGGAGGCATGTGGAAGGAAAAATAACAAAGAAAAACACATGGAGGAACATTTTGTGGATTAATTATCTATTTCAAATGTGAATAATTAGATTAGTTGTAAGAGTTACAGTTTTCTTTACATATTAATTTCTTTGCAGAAATGTAACTTGCCACATTATTCCCCAGAGAAAGAATAGTTGACATGTGTTTGAAAAAGTTGTAAGACGACACAGATTACCCAATAATTATGATGTAGGATATAAAAATGATAAGGTAGATAATGTAAAATTTTGAAATTTAACACAATTGAAGTCTACTTAGGCCTAACGCAGTCAGCACACATGTGGACCTCTTCATCATCGTCACTATTGTCACCTGTACATGAGTTATGGGCCCATTTCAAGCATGACGAACACCAGATCCGCCTTTCAATAGACTGCGAATAGACATAGCACAACACAGGCAACGTCATCTTGATCATCTTCTCTACTGTCACTCGGGCATAAGGTGGGTACCCAATTCTGCCCTGCCCTATCCTGACCCGAGTATACTCTTTCCAAATTAGGATTGTCCTACCAAAAATGACATCATACAAATAAATAAATATATTTATTTAATACTTTCAAGAAAATGCCTTGTAACATGCATCATTTAACAAAGTGGATATGAATAATGAATAGGTTTCACATTCCCTGGAAGTTGAGGAAAATTTCTAAAATGTAAGATCAAAATCCAGAACGGGTGATTATATCAGAAACTGTAAACAAAAAATGGCGCTGACTGACATGTCATGACCCTATGCTGTATGCTATTGGTATTTCACCCGGTCCCGATAGATAGTAACGCATTTCAGACGAAATAAAGCCGATACCCCGTTCTGACCCGTGGCTCCGTCCTGCCCCCCGTTCCCCTAAAGTTTTAACCAAACATCATATGATATTACGCATTTTTCAATGATCGTTTACTATACATCATTTTAGAATTCTTATTATATGGAGCTGGCACTTAGAAATTCATGAATGCTGTTGTTATTTTGTAAAAAGTAGAAGGTATGAGGATGGAGTGGTCTAAAATACCAAAACGTCCATATCACATTTTACCCAAATACGTGAACCTGTCCTCGAATTCAAGTTAGGGTCAGATGGACGGATACAATAAACCTATACAGGATGAGTTAGAAGTATGTTCACAAACTTCTCGTGCGTGTTCCAGAATCGAAAATAAGAAAAATTGTTCCTATGATCTTAGGGTCGCAAAAGTTTTATTTTTGAAATAATAGACAATGTATGCCTTTATTGCCAAGTATAAGGACAGGGATGTTTCTCTAAAACAGATGCTCAAAGGTTGTTCTTCCAATCTCCAGAAATGCCCTAGCACGACGTACACAAGACTGACGGATTCGTTCGTACACACCAGGGTTTCCTCGAATCATCTGGCATGAATTCTGTTCATGTTCCCATAGGTCGTCTTCATTGTTTATGGGTGATGCATAAACAACGGACTTCAAGTGATCCCACACATAAAAGTCCAATGCAGTCAGATCCGGTGACCACGGTGGCCATGCTACTGGGCGACCACGCCCAGTCCATCACTGAGGGTACTGTTCATTGAGATGATCTCTGACGCGACTGGAGAAGTGTGCTGGGGCTCCGTCGTGTATAAACCACATTTGTCCTCTTGTATTCAGTGGTACATCTTCAAGGAGACGTGGCAAGTGCCATCTTAAGAATCGCCGTATGTAGGTCCTCTTAGACGCGATGGAAGCATGTGTGGACAAATAAACATGTCGCCAACAGTTCCTACCCAAACGTTAATTGAAAAGCTTTGCTGGAAACTGGATTTACTTTGACGTAAAGTCATTCATTGAAACTTATTTTTTGGCTATTATTTCGAGAAATGAAACATTTGTACCCTATATTCATAGGAACATTATTCTTATTTTTTGATCCTGGAACACGCATACGAAGTTTGTATAGTGCAAGTAACACACCGTAACAGATTGAACTGCGACTTCATATGCCACGATAAATCTGTGAACTTATTATCTCACTGAAAGGCAGAATCTTACGTTATTAAGTTGCTGTAGGTGTAGGTTTTTCACACTTGAGAAGACGGCTTTATAAAACCCCCGACATTTCTCTCACGTCCTGGCATCTGACGGGTTAACACGTGTAGTGTAAGACGAAACTACCTGCACGCAGATTCTGAGGCCCATGGTAATAATTTAAAAATAATTTTACAATAAATTGTATCAACTGACAAACAGAATCCGTGCCACGGAATTTAAACTGAACGCGCTTAATGAATGTACTAACTATTTCCATACATATTACGAATGGTGAGGCACGACTCTCTGGTCCTGTACTTTCACCTTCTACATAACAACCATTTATTCGTCTTATTTGACGCATTCTCCTTCTGTATAGAACCATTTTAGTGTTTCATACTATGAATTTCCCTGTGTAACGGTACACATCTGCTTACATTTGGTATTGAATTAGTGATATATTTTTATACCGTTTGCTTGACGAACACTGATGAGATTCATACAAATTCTGAAACAGATTAATAATCAATTATAAAGTTGTTTATTTTTTAGTCTTCTATATCATTCTACCTTTGTAATAACTATTCCATAATCATTGTGTTCAACTATTTAAATCAAACATTTTTAAGACAATAATGCTACAAGTTAATATAAACTTTTAGTCTGATTCCTAAAGAGCTGTTTCTCATTTCTTCGTATATTTAGTAATGTATGACAGTTTTGATCTAATTTTCGGTGTTCGTACATCGAACTCTTCAGTAAACCTGCAATCACATCCAAAATCCGTACCCTCTAATACAAAACCCTTTCCCTCCACTTCATTATTTCAAATTCCAAAATATGCCACAATTTTCATGCAACGTAACACTCAGTATCAAATATGACGGTTAAATATAGCAATAAAAATACTACGTTTCCTTTTCAGGAAATATGACTTCATATTAAATTTTAATTTAAGTAGTCGTGGCTGTCCTCATGTAGTGACACACATTATGTGCGGTCTGATTTCAGGAATATGGGCCCTTGTTCGATTTCAGATGTTACTATCTCTTTCATCCATATTTTGAACTACATCTGATAATAATATCAACAATTTTTCACTCTTTTCGATAACATGTACAATTTTCAGTGTTCTTTACTAATTTTGGTATGCTGATTTCAAGTATGACCTTGAAAAACGCCTAACACGTAAGAATTTTTTGATACAATAACTTTTACTTTTTCTTGTTTCCGTATACAATACAAGATTTAGCCTACTACTGATGTAATTTTTATGGGTTTATTTGCAAAGCTTTTGGTGGTTTTCTTCCTTTCGCTTTCCAAGGAAACCTTTCGCCACAGATACAAAAGATTTCCACGCTGCGAGTTCTTTAGCGGATATTCTGGCTTCAAAATTTCCATCGTCCAATAGTTTTCTGATCTGAGGCCCGGCAAAAATTCCTTCTTTCAGCTTGGCATCACTAAGATTCGGGAAAATCTCCTCAGATATTTGAAACCTTCTTCTTCCTTGTCCATTCCTTTAACAACATTTTTGATAAGTCCTAGTATAACATGAATTGGTGGTAAGAGAACATTTTATGGGTCAACCAAAGGCTTGCTCACAGATATTATTAAGTCCTGTCAGTTTAAAAGAATTCTGAGAATAAAAAGACTGGTTAGATATAATGTGTACCGGAAGTAGAGTAAGCAGACCTAGCTAAGTACCCTCAATGTAAGAGCAGCAATAGATCTTAGGCGATGTAAAAACAAAACAGTATAACATCTAACATAAGGTTTAGGTCTACTACTAAACAGTTATGAGTACATTCTTGCTTCTTATTTACAAAGGAAAATATAACGAGCTGCGATCTAATGTACTTACTTTCCACTGATATCACCAAAATGCACGAACATATGATTTCAACGTTATTTTCTTTTTCTCTACTGATTAAGAAAGAAACGGAAACTGATTGCTGAAATATCTGCAGAGATTAAAAATATATTAGTAAATTTAATGCCAAGTGATGCTTATTTCGAACTCAAATCACAAATTTGTTTTCCGCCATGTTGGTATTACGAAGTGTAAGAAATTGAAGGTATGAGTTTATTTAGGTTCCAATGTCAACGTCTATACTAAATTTAGTTACAATCCGGTTCTCTAGTTGGAGCATGCAGCCAGAAGAACGGAACGACAATCACACATTATCAGCCCTGTATGCGTTCATTTTGTACACATCATGCAAAGAACTCGAAACGATTATTCCCCTAAACGGCATTAACCGTTTGGCTATGCAATGAACACGAGGTTTTACTTTTTTAAAAAAATATCGTAGTGGGTGAATTTCTAAATATTATGTAGACAAATCTTGTGATTCAAAGAGTTTACCAAACAATAGCATGTCCTTTTTTCTGTCTGTGATATTCTGCACCAAATATGGACTGAAAGTTTAATTGTTCAAATTACGAAGATTTGGGATTAATATTGATAATAACATGTCTCCTGTGAAACATCAAAATGCCCCAGTTTGCTTAACATAAATAATTCACAACCATAGATTTTCATAACATTGACAATTTACTTATAACATTCAGAAGAAATTGTAGATAAACTTCTTTTTATAATTTATTTTTGGTTGATAAGAATAAGACCTACGATTTTCGTCATGAATGCCTGCATCGATTAGGGCGGGCACTGATTTATATAGTGTAGCAATTTGTGCCTCTGATTTTGTATATAATTATTCTGTTGTATATCAGACAAAATTATGGCTTACCGACATTGAGGTTATAGGATGTACTACGGCCAAGAAGCGATCCAAAGACATAAGCACTAGTGTATATACACTCGCATATGCAGTGACCACAATAAGGTACTGTACTATTTTGCACCATATATCTCCAAATGGCCAGAAAGGTAAGACGTAATCAGTTGCGGTGAACGGAACACAGAACACAATGAAGAGTAAATCTGCCACGGCCAGGTTGATGATCAAGAGGTTGGTAGTACTGCGCATTTGTTGGTTGGCAGCGACGACGAGGACTACCTGCAACATTAATTGAAGGCGTCACATAACACTGTCATCGCACAGAAAATTTCGATGTCATGCACAATAATGTTGAAATACTACTGGCAGAGGAATGTTCGTGGCAGGATTTAACACTGTCAGATGGAAAACGAATAATTTTCTTTTCAAGATTTATAACACCGAAGTTGCTACTTTAAATGAGAATAACTGAAGGCTTTACTGGTTTGTTTCCCTTCAATATGGTTCAAATATAGAGGTACGTTTCATAATTTTCATAATGAATTAGAAGAATTTAGTTATCGCTTGTGCGTGATCGACTTACAAATGTAGTATAAGGCACGAAGGATTTTAAGATTCTGTGTGTGAAATGATCAACTTATTTCATACAACTTTACCATAATACCCAATTAATGTCATTGCTGTCTTCCTGTGAAGCATTCTCTTTGTAATAGACAAATGGATTTTTTTCACGAAGACTTGGCATCAAGCAGGTATAACTGTTGTACAGTGTTTATAGCGTAATTAAAACTTTTTCGCTGTAAAATTTAATGCTTCAGAATAAAAAAGGGATTTTCGAACGGATATATTAAATGTTGAATAAAGAGAGAGAATTAGTTACAACACTGTTTTATTTTAGCCGTGTAAACTTTTCTATGGAGAGTAATAAGGATGTTTGGAAGATAGGGGAAGTGGCCGGAAGAATGTAGGGGAGAGAAGGACATTACTGTGTCATATTTTTTAGGTTATATTGAATTTTCTTGCTGTTGAGTTCCTACGAATCCTAAAATAACACCATGGCCAATGAGTTGACAAATTCGAGTTCTTGAATGAAATGTAGAGTAAATTTTCTTGAAAACTTTCATTCGTTAATGTTTATGTTCAACCGAAAGAAATTTACCTAAACAAAAACTATCACTGTTTTAATAGAGAAAGAGAAGGCATATGTAAAAACTAATTATTCAAACCACAAACCAGAACACAAGCAAAAAATAACTATTGAAACATGTCTTAAATTTACTGCTTACATTTTGTAAGGTAGAAAAACTGATTGGTCGATTTATTTTTAATATATCACAGGCGTTTGAAGCAGTTGGAAGTGTCTTGTGTATACTTATTATTTCGAATATTGGCGTCTTGCCTACAACTTTCTGAGCTGAAATGCTTCCGTTATCGATGCCTCTGGAAGGTTTTAAATTATTTATTTGGTTTTGAAATTTTTAAGGTGGTGATAGGCCTTGGTTGTGACAGAGTACACCGTATCAGAGCCCAGAAGACAAAATGCGTACGATTAATTTATTATTTCGACTGTTATTTAACACTACTGAGCAATTTAAACTTGAAAAACATTCGCTTAGACAGAATACTCTTCAGTTGACGCTATCTACCCTACGTCAACTGCACAGACTGTGACGAAACACAAACAAGGAGAAAGCAGATGTAACTTCGCGGGTGGTACTAGTAAGGCGAGCTTCGTTTAGACACTTCCGTCTGTTGAATATAACTGTCTCACACTGAGTAACATTAATATCCTATAGATGAGGTTCAAACAGACGCGAAGCTTACATTGTTGCCTTCCGGCGCTCAAAAATATATCGGTGATATTAATGGCCTAACATTCACAATGTTTGAGTTGCGTATTTGCCTACGCCAGCACAATTACACATTTAGGTAAAGTCGTGGACCTCACAAATATCGTGATGTATCGCCCTGCTGCTTATTGTCTCAGTTTCTTTAGTGCGAGTGTACGCCAAGGCGGATGGAAACTGCAACTCATTTTCAGTTACACCTATTTCTCAGTGGAAAACCAGTTGTTTCTTGAATGCTCGTACATACGAGGTGCGATCGGAAAGTTTGAAGACTGCGCGTATAAAAACCCGTACACTTATCTCAGGTATTAAATTCATCCATCACCCTCGAAGTAGTTCCCCTGGGAGTGAACACAACGATGCCAAAGACTCGCCAAAGCGGCTACGGAAACCTATGAAATGCTAAAGCAAGCATTTGGGGAGTCCGCAATGGGTCGTGCACCAACTTTTGTGTGGCATTCACGTTTTAAAAATGGCCGAACCTCTGTCGATGTTGACGAGCGTTCTGGACGACCATCTTCGGGCACAACGCCCGAAAATGTTACGAAGATCGTCGTCGTACCATCAACGACTTGTGCGACATTGTTGGGATAGGCTATGGGACCTGTCCGCTGATTCTAAAGGAAGAACTCCACATGCGACGCATCATGACAACGCGCCAGCGCACACCGCTCTCAAAGTTCGGCAGTTTTTGGCCTCAAACACCATGGCCGTCATCCCGCACCCTCCTTATTCGCCGGATTTAGCTCCGTGTGACTTCTTCCTCTTCCCAAAGATGAAAATTCAGCTAAAGGGAAGGAGATTTGAGACGATAGAAGAGATTCAGGCAGAATCGCAGAAGGTGTTTGACAGGCTGACAAAGAAAGCTTTCCAGGGATGCTTCCAGGCTTGGCAGCGGCGCTGGGATCGTTGTGTTCACTCCCAGGGTAACTACTTCGAGGGTGATGGATGAATTTAATACCTGAGATAAGTGTACGGGTTTTTATAGGCGCAGTCTAGAAACTTTCCGATCGCACCTCGTAGAGGAAAGTGATTCTCTTGCAGATGCCTAGAAGTTTTAAGTAGGGAATGTCTTTATTTATAAGCTTTCTATACAATTAGTGTTGAAGCGGTTATCTGATACAGGATTAGGAGGGGAGGAAAAGGAATAACCAAAAAGTAGGGACACGATTAGCCCATCTCGCCCCCTTTTCTTCATTTTCTGCCCAATCCCGCGCCAACAAGGTTCTTGTTAATTTAATTGTGATTAAAATGTCTCTTTAATATATTTCCTTCCCATAGCCAACTGGACGGGTACTCAGCTCATAGAAAATTTACATGTCGAGTTGCTTCTCAGTTGAGTTTCCAACTTTCCTTCCAGTTGCATTGAAGATGCTGTCGGCTTTCCGAGGTGTACACTGCGCCATATGTGTTATGTTTAGTTGAACGAGAAAGGAGTTAAAGTGGTGGAGTGGAAAAGGACTCTTAGTTAGGTTTCTAGTTGCCATGGTGAACACATGGCCTCACGTATTGACCTGCAGCTAGGAAATCCGGTGCCTGTTCTTAGACATACATTTGTCTCTACATTAGCCTTAGGTGAGCTAAGTACCACTAACTTCCATGGATTAACAGGAGACTAGACGAGTGAAGCTTCTTTGTTTATTCAACGACACTGCTGAGGACTTACAGAGGAAGATGGAGAAGGTGAGTATTAAGGAACAGATGTTATGCAGCTGTGGGCTATGTTGAGTCATCAGAGAATTGTATCAGTGTTGACGTCATGCGGCAGCCCGCTCATCCGGGTCTAACGCTGAGTAAACCCAATGGTATGTTAGTCGATGATCGCCAGGAAGTCCTGCAACGGGTTTCTCTCTGAACTTCGGAAATGAAGTTGTATATTTGAGCGGAAATTTACTGATAGAGCTAATAAAAGACGTTTTCATAAGCAGCTCAAGTACTATGAACAGAAAAATATAATTAGTCTCGGACGATGATGTAATTGGTAGACTAAATTTGCAACGTTTCCTCGTATCAAAACATTTGAAGGATTTTATGGCACAGCGATCTGATCACGGGTGTAATTTGGTAATATTTATGATGATATGTTTCTTGCAAAAATTATTATAACAACTGCCATTGTAATGCTGTTAAGGAATTCTCCGACCTATGATTTGCATTACTAACCGTAATAACACATTCTCCTCCGTGTGTTTGACAATTGTCATGACCCCACAGCTTTTTCTCTCAGTGGATCTAGTTCTTGAAAGTTTAGTCGCCCGTTATTTTATTAGTTTCTTCAGAGGTATAGCTGGAAACCTACAGACATTCGACTAGGTTACAATTTAATTTTATTTCTAAATAGAAGTGCGGGTGGCAGCGGATATCACCAACAAGGAATACACCACGCAATATAAAATGGACCCATATCCTTATCATCGGAACACAATATTTTCTCTCGTGCTACATTGCTTTTATAAGAACTGTTCTGGCTTGATCTAAGGGATAGAAAAGAACCCTATATTTATTGAATGTGTTTAAGAATGGTCATTTATAAATACAAGGTGTGATCCTTCAGCTGCGTCAACTGTTCGTGAAAAGCATCACCTTGCTTCGGCTACCTACCTACCCTGCAGTTATTTTGGTGAATTCTGTGTTATGATCTGTCCTACACCTTAACGGAATAAAATTGTTACTTTACATCTTTAAATGGACTAGACGATTCATTTGTAGTCACTGGTTATAATGTTAATAAAGTATACTTATAAATTCGATACATAAGTACAGGGAGGAAGGCTGCGTGAGGAGAGACAATGAAGAAAATCTAAAGTGTCTTTCGAAATAGGAGTAGGGACAAAGAAAGTTTAATTTTATGCATTATTTTATGTCTTATTACAGATCTGTTAAATTTATTATTGCCCTTGGACGGCGCTAGTTTAAAAGGAGTGACAGCGAAGCTTCAAATTTTACGTAAAATATTAATCTTCATTACAATAATACACACTGTTACAACGTATGGTGTTTGCCGATATTCCGTTAGAATTGTGAATATGATTGAATTAGTTATATTCCAAATAGATATCGTATGGAAAAGCTGAATATAACAAATTGATGTTTCCATGCTTGGTAATATCAATTCCCTTAAATCTCGAAACTGGATTTGCTTCTTTTCAACCTGTGGTTGGGTCGAAAGGGAGAGGTTCCAGATCTCCACGTCATTAATTCTCTTGGTGATACTCTCTCAGGTACATCGGTCAAGAAATAAGTAACCACACTTGTAAAAAAAATAGGACTACAAAAGTTTCATAAGGATAATAAATAATGAGCATACAACAAAAATTAAATCGTTACTCAAGCTCCCAGTCAATAAAAATACTAAACGTTACCCATATTTCAATCAAATGAAGCTTTAAAAGTTTACAATCTATTGAATGACAAGATATTTTCGGCTTCACT